GGGAGTCCACCCCCGGACAAGCGACGTCCGTCTCCCTGTCCGGGGGTCGTTTTCGGCAAAAAAGCTGCCGACATTCTGTTTTGTCGAAACGCAGTCCCGTGCGGATTGCAGCTGATCCGCAAGACAAATGTCTTTTCGCACGACAAAAACGCAAGCAAACAAAACTGGCCCCCGGACAACCCCCGGACAGAAGCCAAACAGGGCGGGAGTCCACCCCCGGACAAGCGGCGTCTGTCTCCCTGTCCGGGGGTCGTTTTCGGCAAAAAAGCTGCCGAGATTCTGTCTCGTCGCAAGGTAGTCTCGTGCGGATTCCAGCAAATCCGCATGACAAATGAAAATGTATTGTGGCGCGACAAAAACGCAAGCAAACAAAACTGGCCCCCGGACAGAAGCCAAACAGGCTGGGAAAAAATTTGCGTGAAGACGCTCCTGCGTACTTCCCCCGTACGCAAGCGAAACAGCACTACATTCTTACCCCGTACGCGAAATTTTTCTTCCCCCGTACGGAGGTCGTTGGAGCTAGTCAAAGCCAATTTTCCAGCACTTCCTGCCCCTGTATCTTCATCTTCAGGCATGAGTTCAAGAAAAACAACCCTCTAAAAGCGCGTTTCCAATCGTACTTCCCAGCAAACGGGCTGCAACTACGGGGCATCACAAAGTTAATCGATTTATCATCTCCATTTTCGTATGCGCCGCATCGTCCGCTGGTTTCACTGCTGCGCTTGGGGCGGCTGTAGTTGTAGATTTTTTGCATCGGATGACGCAGTTAAATTAATACTACCGTAATAAAGCACTTCTCTTCTGCTCATGGTAGGTACTGGCTGCAAATTGAAATTTCAATTTTGTTTTTGATTTTCCCATTGTCAGGATATGTAATGCAGAAGACGTGGGAAAAAAAAAAAACTCAACTACGTTTGCTTCCCGGCGTGTCGTTAGCAGGTGCGGGTGGGGCTACATCGGCATCGGCATCTTCATGTTCATCTCCTTCTTCACCACCGTCATGCTCCTCATCTCCACCGTCGGCATCGTCGGTCTCGTCATCGTCGCTCCGCACGTGCACCTTCTCCTCCGCTACTTCATTCACGTTTATGCAACACAGATTTCGGTCTGTCAAACATGTGTTGCTGATGCACTCTTCGCATTACAAATCTTTCACCTCATGCACTTTTCGCATGACAAACCTCCACGACATTCGCTCATGGTCTGACTACAATCCTGAAATTTGTGTAGCGTACCCTGCATGAACCCGGTTTTCATGACGGTATCCGTCGACAGCAGCGAAAAAGCGTTTTCCTCGTCAAAAACCTCGTTTATAATTCCGGTGGAGAAGTTGAAGTGTTGCCCCGCGCCCTGCATCAGAAGTTCGTCGCTGATTTTCCTCAGTTTGTCATGCTGTTCTCCATCAATCGTTTCATAGTGCGATGTAGATGAAAGGTTACTGTTGTGCAGGAGGTTCGGCAAGATCCAGTTGTGGATGTATCGTACGAAAAAAGTGTTTTACTGTAAGGATTTTGCAAGTTTTGCATCACAAGTTTGTTCCACATCACAAAGAAAATTTGCCATGCGAGATTCTGAAGGGAAAACACAGCTAAAAGTCCACTGTCTTGCATGTGCAGCAAGACAAACACTTCAGTGATGCTTTTTCTGCATCACAAGTGCACAGTGAAACAGTTTTCTCTTGCGATAGGATGAATCGGAGGTGCAATTCGTGGATGAAGAAAAAAATCGAGAACACCGCTGCTGCGAGGAAGAGAAGGAAGCAGCAGTTCTTTTTCGACGCGGCTCTACTGCTGGGCGATGTTGACGAGTTCATCTTCTCGATTATTTTCGAGGACGTTGAAGAGGTGGAGGGAGTCGGCTGGGATGTTGCGGGATTATGCATTGCAAAGGCGTAATCACAGTAGTATGAGTTGCAACACAACTTTTTTCAAAAGGTAAAGTGGGGTTTGTCATGCAGTTTGAAATAGGATAATTAATCTGTCATGCAACAAACTGCAACTTACATACTTTGCAAAGGATATGTGTGATAGTTGAAGTGACTCGTCGTCCCGTCGGAGGCGTTCACAGACGGCAAAAAATCCATCTCGTTGACATCCTGCAGCTCCTGCTCCAGCTGGTAGGAATTCGCGCTGTGATGATTCCGGGCGTAGAGCCGGGAAGTAGAGCTGCTCGAGGTGATTCGCTCGCGTTGCTCCATTTTCTCGTCCTCACAGAGACGTACTAGTAGTTCTGGCGGTGATGCTACTTCGTATTATACCGTACAGTTGTAGAAGAGCAGTCGTTCGTTTCTTTATACCTTCGAAAGGCCTCTTAATTTCGAAGCTGTCGCAACTACTAGGAAACTACTTGCACTTGGTATGGATTTGCAATAAGTGTTCGTGGAACTTTTTTTGTTCAGCCGTCTTCTTGGCTGTCCATCCGCACCTTCAGATCGTGAATCTAAACTTAGCAGTGCAACTACTTCTGTGCGACAGTACGGTCTTAATGCGAAAGCAACACCAGAGAGCTTCCACGAAGAAGTATGCGAACAATCATGACGAGGGCGAAAACGGGTAGCGAATCTTCAGTACGACGAGAACGGTCGATGCGATAACCACTTCTGTTTCTTAAAGAAAGCGACGAGAAAGCGGTCTGCTTAGTAAAAATTACTCTTGCTCGTGGTCTCTCTCCCCTCGCGACACGACGCAACCGGATCGAATGTACGAGTTCCTGTTCATCATTCACGATACCACGACGCACCCCACGAACTACGAAGTCTCTGTTCGCAGCCAGCAGCTACAAAGTACTAAACAGATCTGTTGAGCTAATACTGCCTGCGTACTTCCAATCATGTTCTTTCTGCTCCCGGTAATTCTTGGCTCTTACAGTGACGTGGCCCTCCTGCGAAGCCGTCTCAAGAACGACAACGCTCCTGCTGGTGGTGTGTATTTTTTCATTTCTCGTAGTGTTTCAAGTATTGTACAAAGGTTTGAAGATTCATCTTCGCATTTTTGTTCTCAAATTTTACAATAATTTCTCAAGCTTTTTGCTATCGTTTCAATTTCAAAGGTGGAGGTGCACAGGAAAGCTAACGTTTCTTCGGGTATAAAATCTGGCGGCCCAGCAGAGGTCGTAAAGATCGTAAACAATAATGAGTCAATACTGGGTAGTCGTAGTTGTGATACTGAAATCTTAGCTGCAATCGAGGCACTGGTACTTAGTCAAAGTGTCAAGACAATTAAAACTCAGATAAAGGGTCGGTACATTTTTTTTCACAATCAATTTTTGCAGCAGTATAGTGTCAACAGGGTTTTTTTACTTCTGAAACTGTCAAACAACACGCTAGTAGACTTGACAATCGCGCTCTTGAAACTATGGAAGAAGTTCCGAATTGTTCACACTCATAGATAGTGACAGGATGATGATACATCGCGGCAAAGGAACTCAAGCACTCTTTGCTTAGTACCCTAGCGAGAAACATCGTCCAAATTTGAATCCACGTCACGAGTCTTACATTCTAGATTTTTTCCCACCCCCGGAATGGAACGCGGTATCGGAGTACCAGGATTGAAATCGACGGAGTTAAAGTAACTTGCAATGCATAAAATCGATACCAATTGGATCCACAGCTTCTAGTCGGTGCATGACAAATTTTGTCCGTACAGGAAGCCAGTTTGTCATGCTGTTCAGGGCAAAGGGACTCCCCTCTGTGTTGCTAATCAGCAGCCCATTTCTCGACCCCTACCAGCACTACAATCTGCCTCCCTTGCGTCCTCTGCAATAGAGGCAATTTCTGCGTTGCATTTTATGCATGGCAAACAATTTCACCTTTGACGATTTCGATCCTGACACTCCCATACGCAGTTTCGTCTTCGTAGTCGTCCTCTTCCTCTTCCCCGTAGCCGTCTTCCTCGTACTTGGAGGACGTCATCGAGTAGCCCGATTGTTATGCTATGGAAAAGTATCGCACAACCCCGCGTGGCAAATCGCATGACAGATCTATCTTTTATTTTATTTCTAGAGCAGCATCACAAACTCCAATTTTTTGTTGATTCTGGAAAATCAAAAATCTGTGATGCAATTCACACAAGTGCGATCAAACTCTTGCCATGCATAGCTTCGCTCCGGAGGAAGTAACCGACTTCGGCTTCGTCATTGCGTTGGACTTCTTGGTATCAAATGCAAATATGTCCGGGTCTGGAAACTTGTGATGCAAGTCAGTGAACAATAACAATAAGGGAACTGTAACGCGCAGCTAGGCATAATAAGTTTTTTTCGTGCTTCTGTGCTGCGCATTCCGCATGAGAAACTACGTTGTTCTTGCATGACAGGCTCGAGAGGCTGTTCATGGCCACGCAATACAGAGTGCAGAGTCATGCCAGACTAGCATGACAAATCTTGCAATCTTCCAGACCCAGACATGTTTGCAGTTGATACTTGGTGGCACGGCTTGCAGAAGAAGCAGCAGTTGCGCTGCTCGGCGGGAAGGAAGTTTATCAAGAACCACAAAAATGTTTTATGCGTAAACGATTTATTTCACGGCTTGCACCCAGGCATTGTTCCAGATTTTCCCTAGAAAGTGAAAGCTAAAGCATGCTACGCAATACAAATTTCAGCGCTGCCGCTGCCAGCCTTTTTGCATGTTATTGCATGATAAACTCCGTTCACACAGACACACTTCTTCATGGGATAAACTGCCGCCGGATTGCATGGAACTGCCGCCGGACATCACGCGAGAGGCATCCAGGAAAAAAGCTGCTTTAGTGCTGTGAGAAGTAGCTTCAGCTTTCTTGAAGTAGTGACAGCAAAGCAGGACATCAAATCTTGTTCGCATGACAGAGCAAGGCTGTCATGCACTGCTAGCACTTAAGACGCCACCTTATGAAAAGAGGGCTTCGTGGCTCCTGGCCAGCATACGTCTACACACTTACTCACTACAGGTACAGACTCACACGCGGGAGTGGTTTTTTCTTGCATATGAGGATCCACTGGTGTACTGCGAACTGCTGTAGTACTCCGAGCTCCTATGAGAGTGCACCGCCCCCCTCTGTCCCCAACATTTATTTTACAGGAACGAACATAAAACAACACACAGAATACCCTGGGCGAACCCTGGGCGAACCCTGGGCGAACCCTGGGCGAACCCTGGGCGAACCCTGGGCGAACCCTGGGCGAACCCCGGGCGAACCCCGGGCGAACCCTGGGCGAACCCTGGGCGCACCCTGGGCGAAAACCCTGGGCGAAAACCCTGGGCGAAAACCCTGGGCGAAAACCCTGGCCGAACCCTGGCCGAACCCTAGCCGAACCCTAGCCGGCTACGCTGAATCTTGCCCCCCCAAACCCCCCCAAGCAGCCTAATGACGGCGCCCGGGGGGTCGCCAGAATTCGTCAGCTAAACACGTATTTGGTGTTCTGCACAATACAACTGAGGGGAGCGGTGAGGGGGGTTACTTGTGCACTCTCATAGCTCCCGTACGAAGTCCCCTCTCCACCCACACTTGACTCCCCCTTCTTGCCGCGCTTCGACTCGGGTGACTTTCCCGCGGCCTTGTCGTAGTCCTTGTTCAGCGTCCGTGAAATGTCGCTCTCCTTCGATTTCGACTTGGGTCCGTAGTAGATGCAGTATGCATTGCAAAAATGTCTGGGTCTGGAAGAATACAAAGTTACCATGCTGGGTTTCTATGCCCAAGAGGTCTCGTCTGGAATGCAGGACCTAGCATGACAGATTCTGCGAGGTCTCTACCATGCCTGCCCTGCATGAGAAACTCCCTCTCATGGTGGTCAGAAAAGGGCAACTTTTGGCTATCACGCAAGAGCGATTTTTGTGTGATCCACCGCACGCGTCACAACTTCCATCCTTCCAGACCCAGACATTTTTGCAATGCATATGCAGAAAACCGTGACAAAAAGCCCGAAACCGAGGATGACGCCCCCGATGATGGCGAAGACCCCGTAAGAGGCTTTGTGCCCGGTCATGTGGTCCGGGTGGTACTTCTCGCGCAACCGCGGGTTGACCTGAATTTTGATTGAAGCGCGCATTAATTGTCGTTGCAATTCATGCATGACAGAAATGCATGTCCAATGCGTTCTGCGCATGACAAAAAAACTCTATCATCTTACCAGTCCATTGTTGATGTCCGTTGTGGTAGTCGTGGTCGTAGTTTTCTTGGTGGTCGTAGCAGCTTTCGTGACGGGCGCGGCAGTCGACGTTTTTACGTTTTTATCAAATGCAACTATGTCATCTGGGTGTCTGGAAACAACTTGTGTTGGTGATACTTGCATCACAGCATGAGAAGTTGTGTTTCCCCAACTTCTTGCGGATCGATTCATTCCCGTCGAGAACGACGAAAAAAAGACCATAATCGTATTCAAGCATTACAGATCTCGCTGTCCTTCGCATCTCGCATCACAAATCCAGACATATTTGCAGTGGATAGTTTTTCTGCGATGTGATCTGGACATTCTCCGTTTTGACGGTTTCCTTCTTCTTCTTTCTCTCCAGTATCCAAGAAAAAAAGTGTGTAAGTGTAACTTTCTTTGAGGAACAGCATCACAAATTTGCTCTACATGGCAGAGAAAACCTGTCATGCGTGGCTTGTAAGGGAAAACACAAATGAAAAGAGGACTTTATGGCTGTCTGGCATGACAGGTGTAGCTCTGTTGCATGTTCTGCAACACAAATTTACACTTACACAGTTTTTTTCTTGGATATCCAGTTCCATGCCGGTGATCTCCGCGCCACCCTTCCCCGTAGTTTTTGTCCCCTCGTCATCCTTCAGATTGTTCACGTCGAGGAAGGCGGACGCCTCGTCGTTCAGCTCTATGGCCTGCTCAAAAGTTACAATCTCAAACGTTACAATAGAATCTGGTTCTGGAATTTGTATTGCATGAAGAGCATGAGGAACGCAGAGCGAATTGAGCTTTTCGTAATACAAATTTTGCCGGATTTCAGGCGGATTTGGGACTCCGAAACTTGTCATGCGCAATCCTATGGGAGTAGGCTAGATCATGCAGTTCTTGCATCACAGATTTCCAGATTCTATTGTAACAGCTGAGATTGTAACCACGTCTGTGCGGGTCATAAGCTCGGAATCCAGTTTCTGCTTAAACTTCTTCGGCCGCTTCACTTCGATGAAAGACGTATCCTGTGCAAAAACGTCTTTGCCCCAGAGTTGTCATGCAAATCTGCATGCCTAAAAAGTTTCTCATGCGCAGCCACATGACAGGCATTTTCTAATTTCATCGACGGGGACGAGTTTGTCATGCGAGAATGAGGAAGACAGTGTCGATTTCTCTTCGGGCTGCACCAGCTGTAAAGGATTACACTGCGAGCCCAAACTTGTCATGCGCAACAGCCAAACCTTGTTTTGATTTGTGTTGCCAAGTTCCCATCTGGACTATGTCTGTGGTCGTGGGGACGTTTTTACTCAGAATAAGACGTGTGGTCATCATGCTCCTCGTGATGTTCGTCCGCGTGTTCGTCTGCAAGGTAGAGGTGCGCGTCATCATCGTGGTATTCTTGATCCGCGTTACCGTCGATGGTAACGAAGGTCTGCAACTTCTTCTGGTGCGACGCGCCGAGTCCGGGCTTCCGCCGGGCCTGGACGACCAGGGTCGTTGAGGTTGCGGCGAGGGCCGCGAAGATGGTCGTTGCTCCTGATCGGCGGAAATAGAGCATTTTGCTGTTGATAGTTTGACAATTCACAGTTTTATATATTTGTTTCAGAATCTACTTCAAAACTACGTACAGCCGAGCCTTGCTGTACTACTAGTTCACCTGCGCAGCTAGAAGAAGCATTTTGTTGTGCCAACGTGAGGCGATGAAAGTTGAGCCCCAGGTCCTCGAGGCCCGAAATCAGATTTCTCGTCCGGAGTTCTATCTTCTAAGACTCAGGCCTACTCTCAACGAGCACGACGAGCGCGACACGGACGCGAACCACATACTTAAATACGAAGACGCTCTCCCCCTCTCGACCACCACATTTTGGCATAGCAATCGCTCGTTTTTTCGACAGAAATTATATGGACACGACACGATCATAGCGTAGAAGTAGAGCTAACGAACATGAAGAGAACTAGCGAAAAAATGCAATGCAACAGCAAATTTTTTCGCTCTTGTCGTGCTGCTGCATCTACTGTGCCTGTAAGTAAGTAGACCGGCAGGTCGGCGATTTTTTATGGGTAATGGGTTTTTTATTTCGCTTCTGCATTCAGAGAGACCTCACAAAACAAGATTTTGTGTTGTTCACATCATGGATGAAGACATTTGGTCGTCTACCTAAAGCACACCTTTCCTTGCAAAGATAGTAAGAGAATGTAAAAGCAAAGTCTTCTTCAGAGTCGGGCAATCTGTTACGCACTACGTAGTCCTGCTCTACCTAGTTTTCTTCATCAGCAAATCTCATGTATAATCATCCCGAAGATGATTCGCTGTCGTGACTTGAGTTAGAATCGCTGCTTGACTCATTCTCAAGCTCTTCCATCATCTTATACAGCTTCAACACCTTTGCTTTGGTTTTCTCAAAATCCTCCTTTCCACATCCACCCGCAAGAGCATCTGCCATCACCACATCCTTCTTCCCCGCCGGTTTTTCCTTTTCGTCCCCCGGTTTTTCCTTCTCGTCCCCCGGTCGTTTTTCTCTCGCAAGATGATCATCATTATCATCCTTTGTCCCTCCTCCATCCTCAAACGCTAACCTTTCGAACTCCTCCCGCACACGGAAGGGCAGGCCTTTCCGCGCATCTACGAAGCTTTCGTAGAAATCGCCGATGAAGTCACTGTTCTTACTGTCGCGTCTTTTTTATGCAACATTTTTGCAAAAGTACTATCGTACGTAGGAGAAATTGCATCACAAACTAATTCTCAGCATGACAAAACGGAATTTTTTTGTCATGCTGATTTAGCTTAGGATGAAGGTTTGTCATGCACGATTGCAATCAAAAACTACGAGTATGATAGTACTTTTGCAACGCATATTTTTCCATTTCTGTAATCCTCAACTTCGACAATCGCCCGGTCGACCACTTTCTTGTAAAACTTATCCGGAGGAAAAAAGCCCCACCTCCCCAGAGTTGTAATGCACATCTGCATGCTTATGCAAAGACCCATGAGAAGCATTTTCTAGTGGTGATTTGAGATTTGCGATACCCGAAGGGATCAGCACTGCGCCCGAGATCTGTGATGCTGCGAGCCCAAATTTTTTGTCATGCGACTACATTGCGAGCCCAAGTTTGTCATGCGAAACAAGCAAAGCTGGCTAATTTTTCTAGCAGATTTCCCACCTGTGGGCGACACCACGTTTTTCCTCAGGATAGAACTCGTGGCATTTTCGGTAAACGTGTTCCAAGCTGGAAGTCTTCTCGTCGACGTCGGAACTGATCGGCAACTGGTGCACTTTTCCGGAAAAGGACACTTCGTGCAAGTACTGAGAAAGTTTCTCGAAATCCAGCGGCTTCGTCCGGCGGGAAACAGAAGGGAGGCATCAAAGAAAAAAAATTCGTCACGATCACTCATGCGCATTCTTGCAATACAAAATTGTTTGTCATGCGTAAAAATGCATCACAGCCATACTTCATTAGGCATTTCCCTAGTGTTTCTGCAATACAAGGAAAGTTTGTGATGCTGAGAAAATTTGTAATGCAAAACCTGCAAGTTAGTGACTGTGACAAACTTTTTTCTCTCCATAGGAGGTAGTTTTTGTTCAATATGACTCTCTTCTCCTCGATTTCTCGCTGCGCGGCTTCTTTCTTTCTTGCTGCTTTTATTTTCTCTATCTTCTCGAGGCAAGGATCATGCGCTGGTTGGAACCTAACTCTGTTATCCGGAGTAAACCCGCCCCGCGGCCCGGCGACGTCTTTATTTTCACCTTCTTTCATCTTCTCGTCGAGAGGATGATGCGTGCTGCTGCTCTCTGCTACAACTTCAGGAGGAGCTCTAATAGTTGTACCACTACTACCTCCCGGTTTCTCGTCGTGAGTTTTCCGCTCCTGGTTCTTGTTCGCCTCAACATCTGTGGTGGTTTTCTGTCGTTTCTGCAACACAACATTTTGTTCCGCAGCAGAGGAGTGAGAAGAGCCCGGACTGCTTTCAGAAGAACCAGCAGGCAAAATTTGTTTTTCCAACTGGTGCACTTGGTCTGTTGTGTCAACACCCGTGAGCTCGGCGGGTGCCTCTGCTTCTCTTCGTCCCTGGAAACAGGCAAAACTTCTTTCACAACCATCGTTCAAAACGATCTCCCGAAACTATTACAGTGAAAAATGCCCCCACCCCAGAACTTGGCAGCATTTGTCTTGCAACCCGCCTTTCCAATGGAACCATTCTCGGTCTTGCATATGTCAGCATCACAAATTTCCAATGCTCAATAGTTCAAATTTGTGTTGCACAGGAGCCCAACAGCAGCCGGATCTGTTATGCAAAAGATAGCTTGCGTAGTCTAGGTTCTGCACCAGAAAGACTCGGAGTCCTTTCATGCATAGATAAAAAGATTTTCATTTGAAAACCTTATGCATGAGAAACTTGCACGAATTCCGGGGTGGGGGCATTTTTCATTGTAATAGAAACAGCCGCACGTGTTGCTCCAACGGAACCTGTTCCTCGCACCCGAAATTTAACGCACCGAGTCCGCACCCAGCGGTCCAAGGTTTGTCCACTCTGCTGTCGCCCTTCGTCCAAAAGCGCTGCAACTCCTGCTTCCAGCCGCAGGCGCCAACCTTCACGACCGTCCCCCCGGGCACGAAATCGCGGGGCATGTTGCGGAAGCGGACATCGATGACTAAATCCTGAATGAATTTCGCCATGTCCTCGGAAAACACCACGGCTATGCTCTGCAAAAGGATCTTCGCACTTGAAGGAACCACTGCAGCACAGCATTACAAACCTCGTCCTGTGCACCTTATTCAGCATTACAATAATTGCGATTCTCTCCTTGTCAAAATTTGTCATGCAACTTCCACTAGCCTGCGACCCTTTTGCAATGCATACCCGCCACGGGATCCTCTTTCTCCGCCTTGTTAAACTGAATGTCCTCCACCGCGATATCGCAAGAAAAAACTGCTTCACTGTAAACAAAACTTGTAATGCAGAAAATGAAACACAGAAGCTTTTGTCTTGCTACACATACAAGACAATGGATTTTCATTTTCAGCCGTGTTTTCCCTTAGGAGGGTCGCATGGAAAATTTTCTTTGTCATGTGTAACGAACTTGTGATGCAGAACTTGATGCACAATCCTTCCTTACAGTGAAACACTTTTTTCGAGCGATACACGAAAAAAGCCAGCCAGTACTTAAACAGCCGGTTGGTGTCGTCGTACGGACCTAGTATATCCGGGACGCGCAACGCCGTCCAGAAGTAGGTTTCGTCGTTCTTGTTCAGCTTCATGTCAAAATTGACGCTTTTGTCCTGAGGCTGATGAAAGTATCAAATGCAAAAGCATCGCACTCGTAGTAATTGCCTGTATGCATTACAAATCTCCTTCTCAAGGTAAATCAGCATCACAAATTCAATTTGTAATGCTGGGCTAATTTGTAATGCAATTCATACTAGTACGATACTTTTGCACAGGATAGGGAGGAAGCAGAGCATGCGTTTCCCTTAAGCGTCAACTTCACCATCGCTTCCTCGACTCGGAGTTTCTTGTGTCCGTAGTTGGTTATGCACTGCAAATTGAATGTCTGGGCCCTCTGGAGCAAGTCTGTGTTGCTGATGCTTGCATTGCAGACGAGTGAAGCAACCTGTACATGGCATAACAGCATGACAAGTTTATTTGCAAGGCCGTTTTGTTCTCTTGCAAATTCTCATTCGCGCGCAGCATTACAAACTATACCACTGCTCAGCGGCACGACAAAAACGCTGTGCACCTGCACTCCTATTCGTGCATCACAGCTCTACTTGTTGTGCTCCAACTCTTGCATCAGAAATCCGGGAGACCACGACCCGGACGTGTAATTTGTACTATGCATATCGTCCATGTCGTTCCACTTGCTTTCCAACCTTTTCTATGAAATGCAAATATGTCTGGGTCTGGAAGTTTCTGAACTTGTGATGCTGTCTCTGGATTCTAAAAAGATTTGTGTTGCATAACCAGCAAGAGGACTCCACTTTGTGCTACGCGGAGAGGATGTTTCTCATGTGATAGAGGCATCACAAAGCCCTCGAAAAATCTGTGACGCTAGCGCATGCATCACAGACATCATGGATCATTCAAAATATGCATGACAAACCTGGCAATCTTCCAGACCCAGACATTTTTGCAGTTGATATTTTCGCCACCTCCGGGTCTTGTATCAACGGCATCGCGTATCCAATGTCCTGCTGTCGTTCATTCAGTCTTGCGGTCTTCGCTTCGAATTCTAATTCTTCTTTCAAGAATTTTCCCTCCTTGTCCTCCAACCTATCCGCAATTTTCATCGCCCTACAGCTCTGCCGCCAGCCATCCTTCAGCTCCTGCTTGTGCGCCCCCAAAATGCGATTCTGCCGCAGCTGCGCAGTGTACTGTTGGAACATGGTGGAGGGTATCAAATGCAAATATGTCTGGGTCTGGAAGAGTTTGTCATGCAAATTGTACATGGCCTCTGATGCCTGTGATGCATTCTGTAGCATCACAGCTTTCGGAAAGGTTTGCTCATGCCTATTCTGCATGAGAAATGCCCTCTTTGAGTGGCAACAATCTGAGGGGCTGTTGCCTCTCATGCAATACAGATTTCTGTGTGATCGACAGCTAGCATCACAAATCCCATTCTTTCCAGACCCAGACACATCTGCAATGCATAGAGGGCCGCCGCCCGTCCATTTCCTTGATAGAGCCCATTATCAAATGTAAAAATGTCTGGGTCTGGGAACTTGTGATGCTGGGTAGCGTCTCGTGATGAGGTTACAAATGCTGGCTCAGCATGACAACTTTCTGAGCTCCTAGGTGTTGCCTATTCTGCATGACAAACTGCGCTTCTGCATCACAGAAAAGCGGAGCTCTTGCGTAACGTGCATGACAGATTGAAGAGTCATGCCAGACAAGCATGACAAACATGAATTCTTCCAGACCCAGACATTTTTACATTTGATACCCATTTCTGGAAGATCATAAATCGCCGTTTTTCTCGCGTCTGGATCTAATATTTTCGCTACTGATATCAAATGTAAAAATGTCTGGCTCTGCAAGATTGCAAACTTGTCATGCATATTCTCCATGCCCCATGAGGTCTGCAATGCAGGACCTAGCATGAAAGATTCTTCAAAGTCTCTATCATGTCTATCCTGCATGACAAACTGCCTCTAAACTTGTTCAAAAGTGGACACTTTTTATTGGCAATCATGCAACACAAATTTATGCACTATCCAGACTTAGCATGACAAGTTCGCGTCCTTCCAGATTCAGACATTTTTACAATCCATAACTGATGTTGTTGAACTTGAACTACCGTGCTCCACTTCTGCTTTTCCGCCAAGGCTCTGCTTGCTGTCGCTCTTACCCGCCCCAGATGTTGAAGTAGTCGTAGTCCTTATCCTGAGTAAAAACGTACCCACACCAGAGTCAGGATGAGGATTTTGCAACACAAACCTAGGAGTTTTGTGAGTCACGCATGACAAGTTGCGCTATGCAGTGTAGTGCAGGTTAGCAAGTGCAGCCGCGTCACAGATTCATCTGCTCATCCTGTTCACAGCATCACAAATTCCAAAACACGACTGGGAATGGCTCTCATGGGGATGCGCATTACAAGTCTTCCTGTCTTTGCAAATCTGCATTACAACTCTGGTGTGGGTACGTTTTTACTCAGGATACTATGCAGTAGCTTCGCATCCGAAAATTTCCACTTGTAATAATTCTCCACGTCCTTCTTGGGTAAAAGCTATGACCTGCAAAAGCATCGCACTCGTAGTAATCCTAATCGCAGTCATGCATTTACAAATCTTTATCCCAAGGCATCAAAACAGCATGACAAATTCCATTTGTCATGCTGAGCTAATTTGTATTGCCATTACTACTAGCACTACGATACTTTTGCAGTTCATAAGAGCCGTTCGATCGCGATTCTTTCCTTTGCGCACTTTTCGAGACCGCACACCTCATACACGGAATCCGTGGAAATGAAGATGTAATGACTGATATCCAGGAAAAAAACTGTGTAAGTGTAACCTTGTAGAATGAGCAGCATCACAAATTCGCTTTGCATTACAGGAAAAACCTGTCATGCGCAGCTAGTACGTGCAAATACGTAGGAAAGTGGCCTATTACGCACACTCAGCATGACAAGTGTAACTGTTTTGCATTTTTTGCATCACAGATTTACACTTACATAGTTTTTTTCTTGCATAACTGACGAAGGCTTCCGGGGGAAAGTTGTCGGAAACGACGTTGGCTTGTTTCGCGTATGAAATGCAAAAATGTCTAGGTCTGGAAGAGTGTGAACTTGTCATGCAGGTTTGTCATGACCTTTGAGCTCTGGAATGCGGGACCTAGCATGACAGAGTCTCTGAGGTCTCTTTCATGCCTATCCTGCATGAGAAACTCCCTCCCAACTTGGTCGAAAGTGGAAAGGTTTTGGCACTCATGCAACACAGATTTCTGCACGAATCGGATTTAGCATGACAAGTTGCAATCTTCCAGACCCAGACACTTTTGCAATCCATATCGCGTGATCCCACACCACCTGGGGGTGAACTCTGTGGTTTTCCCTTTTCTCTTTTTCTAGGCTCCACCTCTCGTCACAAACCAATTTCCCGGCCAAGTACAACCCCTTCATGACGTCTTGAAATTCTGACTCTTGGAAACAACAGAAATCCACAATCACGTCCCAAAACGGCTTTTTCTTGTTGATGCTGTCCTGCGGAGGAGCAGGAGCACCTGCTGATGATGATGATGATGAACTAGAAGCAGCTGCACTAGTCATTTTCCCATGATCAGATGGATCAGATGGATTGGTTGACGAGATCATGTTGGTGGTCTTTTTCCCATTATGATCCGCACAACTGGATGATATCAACTGTAAAAATGTCTGGGTCTGGAAGAATGCAAGTTTGTCATGCTTGTCTGGCATGACTTGAGAATCTGTATTGCATAGGCACGAAAAGGCCCTCTTACCTGTCATGCAAAAACGCAGTTTGCTATGCGGAATACGTAAGACATGGGAGCCGGAAAATTTGTCATGCATACCGCGTATTGCAGTCCGTCTACCATTCACTTTTAGCATCACAAGTTTCCAGACCCAGACACTTTTGCATTTGATAGATGACGAGGGATTTTGATTTCCATTGTCATTTCCATTTTCATCTCCCGCCCCATGAGTTTTTGCGATGTAGTCCAGCACCTCATCGTAATAAAAGCGGGTTTTATCTTCGATCGTAAGTTTGGCGATGATGTCCTGAAAAGGCTTCCCTTTCATCTTCCGCCGATCCCCGGGGAAGATCCTCAGCGTGTTTGTTTATCAAAAGAAAGAATTCCCGCTCCCCATATCAAAATGGCAATCTGTGTTGCGGAATTTGTGTACGCAAATCAGCTCTGCATTGCCCTAGAGGACTGCAGGCAGATGCAAAGCCTGGAAGGGGCTGGCTGGAAGTGGGCGCTCAGCATGGCAGAGGCAGACGGCTGCCCTGTTAGCGCAGCAGCATTACAAATCGCCGGCGTAAAGCGGAGGAAGCTCGGGCTTTGCTCTCTTGCAAGACAGACCTGATTTGTGGCCGCAAATCAGCATCACAAATTTTCAAAAGGATGCCTTTTCGATATGGGGAGGGGGGATTTTTCCTTACGATATTGTTTCATGAATGTTCTCCTTCGTCGGCGGAAATGCGCCCTGCCAGTCGCCATCCCAATACTTCCGGCCGCGATTCAGAATCGCCAAGTCCAAATGATTATGCACTGCAAGCATGTCTGGGTCTGGGAGATTGCGAGATTTGTCATGCTAGTCGGGCATGACTCTGAACTCTGTATTGCGTGGCCGCGAAGAGCTCCTCTTGCCTGTCATACAAAAGCGCAGTTTCTCATGCAGAGTACGCAACTCAGAACCACAGCAAAACTTGTCATGCTCGGCAGCGCATTACAGTGCTTTCACTAAGTATTCCCTTCCCCGCAGCACAAGTTTCCAGAGGACCCAGACATAGTTGCAGTTGATAATGATGGACTTCTTTCAAGATGTTCCGGACCAACGTTCTGCCAACGAAGGTCGAGCCGCCGAGGATGAGAACCCGGAGCCGGTTCTTTTTATTGTAGTCTTCCTGCAACTTCAACAGCTTCTCCATGGCCTCCGCCATCTTTTTGTGTCTCAGCCGGATCGCCGTCAGTTGCTTGTCGCTGATAAGATTGTTCTTGTCGATGTCCGGTATAGCTGAAAAGCTGTTTTTCACGCCTGCTTGTGTTTCTTGTTCTGGATTATCTTTATTTTCTTTTGTTCCCGCCACTGCTGCGGGGGAACTGGTGGATGGAGTTGTAGAGACTGGGGTCAGGGGCGGCGACGTCGTCGAAGGTTTGTCAATTTCTTTGCCGTCTTCTTTTGGCAAAGGAACAACTGCGTCTACTGCGTCACCAGCCCCACTGGAAGATGAAGTGGCGATAATGACGTCAGTGCCCTCGTCGTTTTGTTTCTCCCGAAGACCTGGAGCAAATGCAGATGGACCGTTCTCTTGTTCGCTGGCAAGAATATTCGCGCTGTCAGCTTTATGAAGATCTTCGAGCTCTTTATTTTCTGATGGAGCTGGTAGTACTGGCGCGTCTCCACTATCCACCGTCGTGGTAATGTCAACTTCCTTATATTCCTCCACGACCGCTGAAGCAGCTGGCGTGTGTTCTTCGTGTTCCCCGCTCGAATAATTTTTAGTAATTATGTCAACTTTCCCGTCTACTTGATTCGGCAGAACAGCAGTAGATCCGTCTTCCCCAGAAGTGGTCCCGGAGGTAATGTCAATTCTTTCGTCGTGTTTGTTCTCCGGTACTACAGCAGCTCTTGCTGGTGCGTCTTCGCTAGCCGTCGGGCAGGGGGTGGAGTCGACTTTCTCTTGCTTCACCAGCAGAGCTGCAGCAGGTGCTGCGTGTTCTTCGCTAGAAGGAGTGGAATCGTCCTCACGCTTCTCTTCTTTTTCCGCTGGAGCTGCTGATGCGTGGTCACTCGAAGTCGGAAGAGCGTCAACTTTATCGCCGTGCTTCACCGAAAGAGCTGCCGCTGGCACGTCTTCGCTAGAAGTAGTAGCAACGTCAACTTTCTGCCCCTCGTGTTTCACCGAAAGAGCTGCTGGCGCGTCTTCGCTAGAAGTGGGCAAGACCTCAACTTGTTTCTCGCTTTGTTTCACCGAAAGAGCTGCTATTGGTGCGTCTTCGCTAGAAGTAGTGGCAATGTCAACTTTTTCGTCTTGTGTCAACACCAACGTAGCTGCTGGCGCGTCTCCTGTAGAAGAAATATTGGCGCCGTCAACCTCCTTCTCCTCTTGATTCGGCAGCGCAGCAGGCGGGTCTTCGCTAGAAGTGGTGCCAATGTCAACTTTCACGTCTTTTTCCACCGGCGAAGTAGCTGCAGGCGCGTCTTCGTCAGAATTAGTGGAAATGTCAACTTTCTCGTCTTTTTTCTCCGACCCAGTTGCTGGCGCTTCTTCACCAGAAGGAGTGCTGACAATCTCGGCGCTCTCGTCTTGCTTCGGCAGCCCTTCGCGTGCCTCTCCGCTAGAAGGAGTGCTGGCAACGTCAACTTTATCGTCTGGCCTCGGCAGCCCTTCGCGTGCGTCTCCGCTGGAAGGAGTGCTGGCAACGGCAACTTTCTCGTCTGGCTTCGGCAGCGCAGCAGCAGACGCGTCTTCGCTGGAAGGAGTGCTGGCAACGGCAACTTTCTTTTGTTCCACCGGCAGAGCAGCAGGCGCGTCTTTGCTGGAAGTTGTAGTGGCAACGTCAACTTTCACCACCGCAGCTGCTGGCACGTCTTCATCTTCAGCAGCAGTCGTGGTAATTTTTATATCAACGCGCTCCTCCTTTGGTGAGGCAACAGCAGGGACAGGTTCGGTGGAGCCACCAGTTTTGCTCTCGATCTTCTCCTGCTTGACGTCCACGTTCTTACTCTGAGATAAGATCGAAGTCGCAGAAGGTTTATTCTTCGCTCCAGACAAAGTAGAACCTGCGGTATTAACACCGGAACAACTCTTTTCTACCAACGTGTCGATTTGCTTGTCCTTTTGCGCAGAAGCTGCACCTCCGACTGCTCCTGCGAGATGACCAGTGGTAGAACAGGTGGACAACAACTCTGTTGTATCAAGTTTCTGCTTTTTCAGTTTATTTTGCACAGCTACAAGAGGAACGCTGTTTGAGGTACTAGTAGTCTCTTCTTCACCTGTCTTCTTTTTCTTCGACGGAGCAATACCAGCTGCGACGGTGCTGGAGGTACTAGTGTCAACAGCAGTCCTCGTGATCTCCTTTCTAGAATAAGTACTCAGTGGCGCAAGTGCAGGAGGTACAGGACCGGAACTTGTTTTCGTGTTGTCAAATTTCTTCTCCTCTGGCACTGGCACAGAGGCAACGGCGGCACTACCACTTTTCGAGGTAGTCTCCAAAGCACCTGCCTTCTTCGACGACGCCACCTTCTCCGGAGCAACTTCTTCTGCAGGAGGAGTGTCTTCAATAAAGTGCTGCACAACCCTCTGCTTCTTTGCCACTGGATCAAAAAAAATCTCAAGTCTCTTCAGTCTGCCCTGCGCGTCAGTAATTATAGTGCTAGAAATAACTTTCGTACTGGTGCTGCCCTCAGCTTCTTTGTTGTTCCCTGCTACAGGAGGTACAACTACGTGAGCAGGCGGACTGGAGCTGGAGCTGGTTGTATTGAAATGAACTTTATTTTTCTCCGCTAGTTTCGCCCCCGGAGCAAGGTTAACGATTGGGCTGGTCGTGCTGAGAGTCGTGCTAGTTCCTTGCACAAATTTCTCTTCCTTCGCGGGTTTTGCCGATGCGGATGCGGCCGCAGAAGCAGAACAAGAAGAAGAAGAGGAAGCCGCTGGCCCTCCCGCCGCCTGCTCTACAACTACTTCCTTACCGATTTTAGGAGAAGTCGTTTCCTGCTGGTGTTTCTTTGCCCCCTCCTGCTTCTTCACCGGTGCTACCTTCGGCTTCGCAGCGCCCTTGCCTTTCGGCCGCCCTCTTGCCTTCGGCTCTGCTTTCGGTTTTGCCTCGGGTTTGGCTCCCAACTCCACTTGCGGCTTCGCCTTTGGTTCCGCTTTGGGCTTTGCCTTGGGTTTTGCTTTCGGTTTTGCTTTGGGCTTCGCCTTCGGTTTTGCCTTCGGTTTGGCCTTGGCGTTGGGCTTCTTGGCCTCGCCAGAATTCACGTTTTGCTTCTTCGAAGGTGGCATCTTAAAAACAGGTACATGTGGGAAGGGGGAATGTGGAAGGAAAGTTTCGCAAAAGGAGCAGGTGTAAGTTTTTAGGTAAAGAAAACGCTGTCGTCCAGTACGTGTGTGAAGTGCCTTAGCTATACCATAGCGTCGAAGAAATCAATTGCCATAGTACGTCAAGCAGTTTGATTATGTTGATTTGCAGCTATTCCTACTGTTCTTTTCTGAATTCAAAATAGATGAACATGAATTCTACTGTGCTCCTTGTACTACATGCCATCGAATACACGCACGCGCCAATGATCTGTCAGGCCGGGCAGGACTACAACAGAAAAAGGTTATGGTTGAGATCCAAAGAACTGCCTCAACTGTTGTTCTTCCGCTTCGCCGTCGGCATGAGCGGAGTGGATCTTGGATACAAAGTGTGTGAAGAACAAGAACTGGCGGACAAGCAAGATAAAGCTGAGTGGTTTTGTTACTCTGAAGCTAGCGGCGATAGAGACTCGGCCACGCGTCGAACCGAGCTAGCACAAGAAAGATACGACCGGCATTGCCCTGCGACCTGGAGTGAGAAAGCAAGGGCAGCCGGGGGCCTTCGCTGTGCACGACGGAGCTGCGCCAAGAAGCGCGCCCGGTCCTAGCACTGGGCGAAAACAACGGCAATGCGCGGAGGCCCCCGTCCAGGCTGGCGCCGCACAAGCACCGGCGAAAGGCTAGGCCCCCCCGCGAAGCAGCGGCCTGACAAAAATTAAAAAGGGGCGCCTCCCCGGTGGGTTCGTTCCCGCGCGCCCCCGGCCCTGCTTTCCTTTCATTCCGCGCGCGACAGTAGGCCCGACAGAAAAGGGCGGGCGCCCGCGCCCACGGCGTCAGGCTGACGAGCGAGCGAGGGGGCGCGGCCTGGCGCACCGCCTCCCCCCCCGTCTGCGCGGGGGTAGACTGATAGCGCCCCGGTCCGGGTCTTGGGCGTGGTCGCCACTTCTCTCCTGCTGCGCGGACGTGGTCGGTCCCCCGGGGCACAGTGCCCCGCGCGGGGAACGTAGTTCCGGGACGACGGCAGGCTGGCGCCAAAGCCACGCGGCCAAGGGGCCGCCCGGGCCGCAGCTTGCTGCCGGGCCAGAACCGGCGCCGGCCCCGCCCGGCCCCGGCAGACTGACTAAGCAGGGCCCGGGCAGCATCATAAGCACGGCAGCGAAGCGGAAGGGCTGCCGCGGGCGGCGCCACAACCAAACAACGCGCCCGCCCCGGCCGAGGCAGCCCGAGCCCGCGAAGCTCTCTCCGATGCCCTGCCCGACAAGCGCCCGGCGAAGATGCGTGCCCCGGCCTCCCCCGGAGGATGGCGCGCGGCCTGCTACCTGCGCGGCAAGCGGCGCCATGCGCGGGGCGCGCAGGGCTGTCGAGGGCCCACCGCCCTGCCTGGGCGGCTTCCCGGCGCGCCACCATATCCGCGGCCGCAAAAAAATGCATGGCGCGCGCGGCGGCGCCGTCCTTGTTTGCCGTGGTTGGTTGTGGTGGGTGGCGGCGTGCTGTTTTTTTGTTTTTGCTAATGCACGGCCACGAAAAAATAAAGGCCGCTAGGCAGCTGGCTCGCGCGGGCGCGCCGGCTGCCCGCCGTAACGCGGGGCGGCGGGCCAGAAATGGCGCGCGCTGATCGGTCCGCAATAGGACAACGTAGCCGCTGGCGCCGCGCTGCCCATATCAGGCAAACCAGAAAACACAGAGAGACCAGCCGGCCCGCAAAACGCCACAAAGTTCGAGGGTGGCGGCGCTCCCTCTGTCTTGGGCGGAGCTCCTGCATGACACACGAAAGCCCCCGCCCCTGTATCTCCCAGGCGCAGGGACCTGCGCAATGGGCTAGCGTTTGCGCTAGAATGGTGGCGCCCACTGTTGCTGTTGGTTGCTATGATCAAACAGATGCCCGCAACTAAAAAGCATGCTGTTGCTGGGGAGCGAACACCTACAATTCTCGGCAAAAAGTTTCCGACCTCCTCTTTCGGGATTCACAAGCCATCTGCTTTCATTTCATGGATCATATTGTTCAGAGCTTCTTTCCTTACTCAACCGTAACTCCAGACAAATAAGAAAAGACTTCAACATGCGCTGCTGCACTAACATAACTTTGGTAAGATCTTCTCCGCGTGCTCGTTCACTGCTTCTTTTCGACTTCTGTACAACACACAACTTCGACTTGCAGGAAAGTAGATTAAGATAGAGCACATCATCAAATTCTTGCAACTTCTTACTCTCAACGTCAGACCACAAGTAAAAACGCCAGTCCTCACTTCCTCCCATTCGCGCTGCTTTCCCGCAAGCCGCGCAATTCCTCCAACAACACACTCAACTTCCGAATTTCCTCCGGTTCCAGCACTTTTTTCCGCAATTCCGCGACCAACACGTCCCTCTCCTTGATCAATTGCTGCAAGTGCTGCAACTCTTCTCGTTCGCTCGCGGAAATAATCTTCCCTTGTGGCACAGCGGCTTCCGAGTCTGTTCTCGACAGGTGGATGAATGTAGATCGGGTGTAGTTGTTCGCGGAATGATTCGCCGCATGATTTGATGATGGTGCAACACTACTCGTGTTCAACAAACTCGGGTTGTTCAGAAGAGATGAACCACTATTCAGTGGTGGATTCCTACTGATATTATTGCTCGACGAGGACAAAGCCCCGGGCCCTGTTGGCGGCGTGATGAAAATCCGCTTCCCGGTGGTCAGCGGGATCGTATGCTTGCTCCCGGCGAACAACGAGCGGCTGATGGGGAGGGGGTTGGTAGTTGGAGTTTGACCTTGTCCTTGTCCAGCAGCTGAGGGGACCATACAATTGAGCGCCGTTCCTGTTATAGTTGTCCTCGGCGGCGGCTTATACGGCGCTTCGTTGTATAGTGGTTTTCGTGTCTGTGACGACGCTGAGGCGTTCGTACCAGCAGCGGAAGCAGCTCCAATTGTTCCGCCAAAATCCCGCTGTTTTGGCGGGGAACGGTCAGCAACACGCCCCCCGGCGGCGGTGGTTCCACTTGGTGCAACGAAGGTAGCACTCGTCGCGGAACTCGAGGAGCTAGAACTCACCGCGCTCCACTATGGCTTGCTCAGATGTTACAGTCTCAAATGCTCTAATAGCACGTGGCTGTGGGATTTGTATTGCATAGAGAGCATAACAAGGAACCTGCAGAGCTTTGCGCTTTTCGCAATACAAATTTCGCCAGACCCTCATGCGGTTTGGAGCTCCGTAACTTGTCATGCGCAATCCCGTGACAGCAGACTAGACCATGCACTTTTTGCATCACAAATTTCCATTTCTCTCGTGGCGTTTGAGATTGTAACACCTGAGCAGGTTATATCCACGAGTTCTTTCTCTCCCGCTGTTTTTTGTCCGGAGACAGCTGCGCGTAGTCCGTGCTAGTTTTCACGTGTGCCGCGCTTGTGTTCACACCGGGAATTATAACTCCCGGACGCGTTGTAGTCGGCCTGTTTGAAGATGATGTCGTCCCTAGTTGTATAGATTCCGCCGGCGGGAGAACAGTCTGCTGTTTCGAATAAGCCATCACGTTCGAAGTTGCAGAGCCGCTCAAACTATCAAATGCAAAAATGTCTGGGTCTGGAAGAGTGTGAACTTGTCATGCACGTTTTCCCTGACCCTTCAGGTCTGGAATGCGGGACCTAGCACGACAGAGTCTGCGAGGTCTCTTTCATGCCTATCCTGCATGAGAAACTCCCTCCCAACTTGGTCGAAAGTGGACAGCTTTTGGCACTCATGCAACACAGACTTTTGCATGATTCGGATTTCGCATGACAAGTTGCAATCTTCCAGACCCAGACATTTTTGCAATCCATAGAAACTCACCCTCTGCGAGGTCGAGGAGCTGCGCCTACTTCCGCCCACCACCGGTGCCTATCAAAGAAAAACACTGTGTAAGTGTAAGTCTGTGATGCAGAAAAAGCAAAACAGTTACGCGTGTCATCATGCTCCACATGCATGGTAGGCTCGTTTCCTCCGTGTTTTCCCGTCGTATCTGCGCATGACAAGTTTTTCCTGTCATGGCAGACAAACTTGTGATGCTGTTTTCCCAAAAGACCCACACTAACACAGTTTTTTTCTTGGATAGTGCCGGCGCTTGCTCCACCCGCCTCTCTTTCAACGTGAACGGTAGATCAAGCAGGTATTTCGACGTGGCTGTCGCAGAACTAGAGCTGGAGGAAGCAGTACTGGCGCCACGAGTCTTGTTGGTGAAATCAACAGGATTCCCGGCCGCGTTAAAATGAACCCCCACGGATGAAGACGATGAACCGCTCGTCCCGTTGTACTTTTGAAAACACAAGCCCAACCCGTCCGCCGACGTTCCTGTTGGAAACGGATTCAACGCGAAGGAAGAACTGTCTTGTTCATGCGCAGTGCTGGACGAAGAATTTCCCAGTATATTCTTTTCCTCCACTTTAAATATTTCCTCGCTGGACGAGTTGTAGTTGTTTTCAAAATTCGAATTGCAAGAAAAATGCTCGCTGGTGTTCGTCAGGCTCAGCTTGTTTCTCGCAGGCGGTCCTCCGAAAGAAGAGTTGTTGCTGGATGAATTGTTGTTGTTTTGCCCATTTTTGTTGATGAGATTGGAACTGCTACCACTTCGGCTCCGCTTCTGTTGCAGTGTCTCCGCTAGCAAAGTTGGTTCTAAATCTGCGTGGATGGAACTACTCGAGGTGGATTTATTGTTCAGGTGATTTATTCGTTGCGCACCTCTTGTATTGGGCGGCAAACTAGCGTCTCTGTCAAGATTTTCCTCTTCTTCCAGCAACTATCGTAAAGAAAAGTCCCCCCTCAACATATGGAAAAGATACGTCGCAGAAAATTTGCAATGCTGATTTGCGACCACAAATCATCTCTGTCTTGCAAGACCCCAATTCCACAGGCTCCGCCGCATTATGGAGGCGGGGTGTGATGCGGTTTGCCCTGCAGCGCAGACGTTTCTCATGCTACGCGCCTAGGCCAAAACCTCCCTACTCAGGCTTGATGCAGGCCTGCCGTCCCCTTCAGCAGGACAAATCTGATTTGTGTACGCAAATACAGCATCACAGACTTCGTTTCGATATGTTGGTAGTGATTTGGACCAACTTTTTATCGGCCAAGAAAATCGAAAAAAAATCCGGTGGCGCGGCGAAACTGTAGAGGCCAGAGCCAACCAACCTAAGGGGGGCGATTCCCGATTCCCGAATTTTGCATTGCTCAAAATCGATTTTGCATTCCCGCAGACGCGGATTGCACAAAATCGATTTTGCATGATTGCACGAAACCGAATCCCGCAAAATCGATTTTGCATTGCACAAAATCGATTTTGCATTGCACAAAATCGATTTTGCGTTGCACAAAACCGAAGCCCGATTTTGCATTGCACAAAATCGATTTTGCATTGCACAAAACCGAATGCCGCAAAATCGATCTTGCATTGCACAAAATCGATTTTGCATTGCACAAAACCGAATGCCGCAAAATCGATCTTGCATTGCACAAAATCGATTTTGCATTGGACAAGATCGATTTTGCATTGCACAAAACCTAGTCCCGATTTTGCATTGCACAAAATAGATTTTGCATTCCCTCAGACGCGGATTGCACAAAATCGATTTTGCATATGCACAAAACCGAATCCCGCAAAATCGATTTTGCATTGCACAAAATCGATTTTGCATTGCACAAAATCGATTTTGCATTGCACAAAACCACATCACGGTTTTGCATTGCACAAAACCGAATCCCGCAAAATCGACTTTGCATTCCACAAAATCGATTTTGCATCGCACAGAACGCAGATTGCACAAAATCGAATCTCGTAGGCGCGGATTGCACAAAACCCCTCCTCCAGACGCGCAATCCCGCAGATTGCACAAAATCGATTTTCCATTCCCCCAGAACGCAGCGCCGACCAAAAGGTCGGCTTTGTGCTGGCCACAGGTTCGCCGTTGTGGGTCGCGCAATCGCTGTCGAAGGCCACACAATCGCCCGACCACACAAAATCGATTTCGCAGCTTCCCAGGTCCGACCGAATCGAGCGGCTGCGTGGCTCAATATCGAGGCGGTGCGCCACGCAATCCGCCGGGCCGAC